TGCCCACGTGTGTGCGTGTGTGCAGGGGCTCCTGAGACGCACCCTTCTCTTTCTCTCTGACTTGTGACTTCTCCCCTTCCCTCCTCACTGTGTGCCTCTGACCCAGGTGGGATGGGATCACCTGGCAGAGGTCCGGTTTCTCTTTCCTTACCTGAAACTCATTAGGAGACTGTTTCCAGAAAGGAGGTGGCGGGTATGGCTTTCACAGCACAGGTATTTACGGTCCACCCAAGAGCTTCCCGCAGAACGATTCCTCAGCAACAGTCCCCGAGGTTTAACCTCCCAGGAGCAATCTCTGAGATGGTCTCTCCCTCCCACCGGGCGGAGAGCAGTCTCCTGGGGTGAGGTGGCCTTCCCAAAGCAGAGGGCTATTATCCCAGCTGGGGGTTGAAAATGACAGACCTGTCTCTTCCAGGACACAGAGCTCGCTGGGCTGTGCGATGCTGGGCAAGCGTCTTTCCTTAGCTGAGCCAGTTCTGTTCTGAACAGTAAGAGAGGCGGCCCCAGAATCTCCACGGTGCTTCCAGCTCTGCCGTCCTGGGGTTCTCCTCCATCGTTTCCCTCTTTCCCTCTCCATTCTCTTCATTGTCTCTCTTCCTCCTTGTTTTCTTCGTCAATCTCAACCTGCTTCCCGAGCCCTCCTTCCCTAAGGAAGGCTGACTCAGTCCTGGGAACGTGCTGCTCCAGGTTTGGGGCTGGAGCACTCAGAGGCCCTGGTCAGGTGTCAGCAGACAGTGAGAAAATATCTTTGAAAAAGCGATGCAGGAGTCCAGCCCCAGGGAAGTACCTGCATGGGGACACTGTTCAGCAGGGGCTACAAGGAACCTCAGGCAGGCTGGGGGCCTTCTGTCTGCGGCCGGCTCATCCCCACCTCATCAGGAAGGTCTGGTCTTCATTCCCAGGTCTTCGCGGGGCATTTCTCAACTTCACGCTGGACGTAGATGTGGGGAAGGAGAGGAAAAGGCTGCAGTGTTCAGATGGGAGAAGCTGCCTGGGCTGCCTAAGGGAGTGGAGCAGCGGGTCCCATCTTTGTGAGGACCTCCTGCTCGTGCCCACAGAGGGAGAGGTAAGTGGGGGGGTTTGGATGGGAGTCTGGAGGGGTCTGTGTCATTAAGAAAGGATTTGAGGTAACGCAGTGAAGGGCACATACCCATCCCTACAAATGAGGTGATTGAAATAATCCTAACAGGCCAGGTGCGGTGGCTTATGCGTGTAATCCCAGCACTTTGGGAGGCCGAAGCGGGCAGATCCTGTCTCTTATACACATCTAGATGTGTATAAGAGACAGGGCGGAGCTTGCAGTGAGCGGAGATCGTGCCACTGCACTCCAGCCTGGGAGGCACAGCGAGACTCCGTCTCAAAAAAAAAAAAAAAAAAAAAGGTTTACTCCTGGCAAAGGTGCCCAGAGACGTGGAAAAAAAAAAAAAAATAGCATGTCGGGATTCAAAGCCTGACAGGATCTAGAACTTTGGATCTATCTGGATCGTGTGTTCCAATAAACAAATGCATGAATTATTCTTCTGAATACACATTTACCCCCAAAGTGATTATTAATTGGATTAAGAAAGTTTCTAGCAAGTCTACAGCCTTCCTTAAATAAAGGCTTAATCACATCCTCTACGAGAGGATCATGCTCCCTTACTCCCATGGCCTCAAGGCTCTTATGGTGGCAGAAAGACTCATTTAAACAAAGACAGTGGCAAATGGTAGGCTAAGCAATCTCCTTATCTTCTCTCTTACCTCTCTAATATGTCCTCCATGTTGCTTGGAGAAAGATTTTGGTCGGCTGGGCGCCGTGGCCCACGCCTCTAATCCCAGCACTTTGGGAGGCTGAGGTGGGTGGATCACCTGAGGTCAGGAGTTCGAGACCAGCCTGACCAATGTGGTAAAACCCTGTGTCCACTAAAAAAAAAAAAAAAAAAATTAGCCAGGTATGGTGGTATGCACCTGTAGTCCCAGGTACTTGGGAGACTGAGGCAGGAGAACCTTGAACCTAAGAGGCAGAGGTTGCAGTGAGCTGAGATTGAGCCACTGCACTCCAGCCTGGGCGACAGAGCAAGACTTCGTCTTAAAAAAAAAAAAAAAAAAAAAAAAAGAAGAGAAAGATCTTGATAAACACAAGTGTGGCTGTGACTCTTCCTTTCTGTCTGAGCCAGTTCTTTACCCCTTTGTGACTGGGGTGAGAACCACAGGAGCTATGAGACACAAAACCACAGTAGAACGAAGGAGATTTTCCCAAAGCACTTGGCAGCTTGCTTGAAGGACATGTCCCTTCAGCCTGGCTTATTTGGAAGATGCTTAGGACCTCTGACTCACCACTTTTATTGTTTATTTCTTCTTATGACAACATCAAAGCAGGAAGTATTCTTGCCAGGCGCGGTGGCTCACATTTGGAATCCCAGTGCTTTGGGAGGCAGAGGTGGGTAGATTTCTTGAGCTCAGGTGGTTGAGGCTGCAGTGGGCCATGATGATGCCGCTGTACTCCAGACTGGGTGACAGAGTGAGTGAGACCTTATCTTAAAAAAAAAAAAAAAAAAAAAAAAGATGGACGAGCGCGGTCGCTTATGCCTGTAATCCCAACACTTTGGGATGCTGAGGCGGGCACATCACCTGAGGTCAGGAGTTCGAGACCAGCCTGGCCAACATGGTGAAACCCTGTCTCTACTAAAAATACAAAAATTAGCTGGGTGTGGTGGCGCGCACCTGTAATTGCAGCTACTCGAGAGGCTGAGACAGGAGAATCGCTTGAACCTGGGAGGCGGAAGTTGCAGTGAGCCAAGATCGCGCCACTGCACTCCAGCCTGGGCGACAGAGCAAGACTCCGTCTCAAAAAAAAGCATTCTTGTTGTCATCTTCTCCCCCACATCGAACTCTAACCCTGCCTTTCATGGTGACCCCACAGCTCCATGAGGAGGACTGCTTCTCCAATGCCAGTGTCAAGGTCAGCTACCAACTCCAGACCCCTGAGGGACAGACAGACCATCCCCAGCCCATCCTGGACCGCTACGCTGAGACCTTTGCCATCTTCCAGGTGACTACCCACAGCCAGTACCCAGCCCTCTTGAGAGCCCGTCCCACAGAAACCACCTGCTCCCCTAACTTCCAAGAATGTTGGAGTTGGGAGGGATGTCTTCAGACAACATTTGGGCCCCACTGTCCACATGGTGAAACTGAGTCCCTACAGTGGTGTTAATGTGTACCCATGAGTGAGGACTCATGGGCAACGCAGGTCTCCGTCTGCCCCGGTGCTTGTTCCTTT